TTGTTGAGCTCGGTACAGAGTGTGAGCAGAAAAAAAAAAAAAAGAAAATAAAGCCGAAGACATAGATATGAGTCACAAAATGGAGACTATCAATTCTAGTCACAGAGATTTAAACTTAGTTCAATAGAGAGCCACGGAAAAATCTTCTGCAGGATTCTGCTTTAAGAAGATTCCTCTGGTGGCATGTCTTAGGTTGGTTTCTCTAGAATGAGAGATGAAGAAAATGATTTACTGAGGGGTTTCCTCAAGTGAAACCTGTATAAGAGTGAGAATCAGGAGAAGACAGGGGGGAAAGGTAGGCAAAGATATGGGTTCCACTTAGGGCTACTCACAGTTCAATCCCATAGAGAGCTCTGTAATATGAATGACCTCATATTCTTTCAGTCAGTCATTATAATATTTCAATAAGTTATTTACTGAAGACCAACTCAGACATCTCCGGTCAGGGTGACTCCCATAGGGTTGAGACAATCCTTAGAAGGATGAGTTTATAAGCACCCAAAATGCATAGCAATTGAAGGATGTCACTCTGCCCTAATAAAGGGAAATTGGGTAGACATCAACCATGTCTTCTATCATTTTGAAGGATGAATTAGAATTACAGAAGCCTAAGGAAGAATTATACATAGATGTAAGATGTGCTACCATCTGAACGTGAATAGTGATTGTGTAGACAGAATAATAGCTTCCCAGAGATGTTCATGTCTTAATCCCCCAAATCTGTGAATATCTTACATTGCATGTTACATATTACATGGTAAAAGGGACTTTGCAAGATTAAGATTACAAATGCTGATACGGAGAGATTATCTAGGCTATTCAGGTGGCCTCAACCTAACACGATTCTATTAAAAGGGAGAGTTGTTACTGGCTGGAGTTTTACAGAGATGGGATGTTGTTAGTTTTAAAGGTGTAGGAAGGGGGATAATCACTAAGGGACACAGGCAACTTCTAGAAGTTGGAAAAGATAAGGAAATAGATTTCTTCTAGAATGGAAGGAAGTCCTGATAACACCTTGACTTAATTTAGCTCAGAAGACTCATGCTCAACGTATAAACTACAGAGTTGTAAGATAACTTTGTATTATCTTCATTTGTTATAGTGGCAATAGAAAACGAATATAGTGGTATGGAAGGGAAGGGAAGAGACCAATGAACAAAGAATTAATAAAGTTCTCCCAATTAAAAAAAAAATCTTAAAGTAACATTATTCTCTGCTTTCACTTATTTCTTCATTTTAAATAGAATAACTAATTCTTATCACCTTCCTAGGAATTCATAAAGTAACCTTAATGGTCATGGAAAATAATTTCAATGAAATTATACCTGAATTAGAATATGATGATACAACGATTCATATTTTATAAAGGATAAAAAAAATAGCTTTAGTAAATGCCCAAAAGTGGTAAGGGAAGATTAAAAGGAAAACAGCTGTATTTATTTTTGTCATTACATTTAACACATAGGTACCAAGTCCACACAAATTGTAAATCATTCTGATTGGCTGATTTTTTAGTGGCTGCCTGAGATTCATTTTTTCTTATGCGGAAAAATTCAGGACTGTGAGCTTCATGGTCACCAGAGGGTGCTATGGGACAGCTGTCCTGCTTATCCAAGGATGCTCTCCAGGCAGGCTGAGGATGGTGGCTACAGCTCTGGGGGCCGGTGACTCCTTTCTATTATCTAGCACTTGTGAAAATCAGATGTGAGGGTGGGTCAATATTTTTGCACTTACATAAATCTATTTTTCAGTGAAGACTTATTTATGACAACTGTTGGCATCTTTATCAATAAAAAAGAAAAATAATAAATGTTCAATAAAATTCAGCAATTTCCACGAAGCCTTCAAAAAATAGGCATATTAGGTAAGTAAAGGAACATAAACTGTGTTGTGCAATTTAATTAAATGAAGACTCCCCTGAGCTAGTGCTGGGAAGAGAGAGGGTGTGGGGGCAGGGAGGACATGTTAGGAGGATGTTACTTAACCAAGTGTCAAGGCATCAATAATTTATCCAGTGAGGGTTACGCCTCTTTCAGTTCAAAGAATGATTAAAGGTCTTTGGCTCACCAAAAACAGTATAGACACTAATGCTGCCGCAAGTCAGAGCACAGGAAAAAAAAAAAAAAAGGCAAGGACAAGAGCCCAGCCGAGTAACAGCCCCACACAAGCTAATTTACGACTCAGGCGGGCAGGGTTTTGCAGAATATACTGGAAAGAGCAAATGAACCTAGAAATGGTGATGATTATATCTTTGTACATAAAATGAACATAGACCATAACTGCAGGAGAAGGCATTATTAATTGTTAGGAAGGTCATAGCATAAGAAAGAGACCAGTTGGGGCGATACGATGAGGGCAGGAGACCACGCCTGCCACTTACGGAACTTGCTATTATATAGAGTCAATATGGAGTTCTGTATGGAGTTAATACAGCTGGGTTTAAAATAATTTTAAAATATTATGATGGATTATGAAAGGGAATTCATATGTAAGAATATAATCACACATTTTATTTATTTCATTGTTTAATGAGCCAGAAATACATTTTTGTTTTTTTGAGTTAGAATCTCACACTGTTGCCCAGGCTGGAGTGCAGTGGCATGCCCATGACCATTGCAGCCTGGACCTACTGGGCTCAGGTAATCCTTCCAACTCATCCTTCCAAGTAGCTGGAACTACAGGCATCCACCACCACACCTGGCTAATTTTTTAATTTATCATAGAGATGAGGTCTCGCCAAGTTGCCCAGGCTGTTCTCGAACCCGTAGGGTCAGGCAATCCTCTCACCTCAGCCTCCCAAAGTGCTAGGATTATAGGTGTGAGCCATTGAACCCAGCCCAGAAATACATTTTTATGTACAAAGTCCAAAGGCGTATTCTATTTGGAATACAAGAATTCTAGTTTTGTCTTTTTGAAAGAATAATAGAGTTATTACAAAATAGTTTATTGCTTTAAAATGTCAGGATTTGTATGGGCTTATTCTTGTACTGTTTGAACATCTCTAATCTGAAAAACTGAAATGCTCCAAAAGCTGAAGCTTTTTGAGCACCAACATGACCCCATAAGTAGAAAATTTCATGACTGATCTCATGTGACAAAACAGTCAGAATTTGTTATATGCATAAAATTACCTAAAATATTGTATAAAATTATCTTCAGACTATGTATAAAAGATGTATAGGAAACATAAATCAATTTTGTGTTTAGACTCAGGGACTATTTCTAATATATCTCATTATGTACACACATATGTTTCAAAAGTTAGAAAAAAAATTGAAATCCAAAATGCTTCTGACCACAAGTATTTCAGATAAGAGATATTCAGTACTTAATATCATTTACTCTCTATGTATATTTCTATCCACCAAAGCAAATTCCAATATGTTTTCCATTCAGCAAGATATCTGGACCAGTGTTCACCAAATATTGATGATGATTATCTCTATCTAGGTGCAACTTTATTTCCAGATACACATCTGATGTTAGATTTTTTTTCAGCCAACAACTTATCACAACAGATTGAATGCAGAAGCAGATATGAAAATGTACCAGTTTTCAATTAAGCCAGACATTAAAGACAGTTTCAAACATATGAACAATGAAAATTTCTTACTGGTATTTTGCTTTGGAAAATTAAGTAATTTTCATAAAATGATATTTGCCTTAATGTATTGGTGTTATCACTTATTTTTAAATAAATAGGCATGTAAAATTTCCATCAGTTTTAACTTCTAACAGGCTTAGAAATCTAACATCTATATCAATGAATATCAATCAAATAATAAAGAAATATATATAATATTGATAGATATAATTTACATAAAATAAAGCTCTTTAGGGTCCTCAATAATTTTTAAGAGTATAAAAGAATCCTGAGATCAAAAAAATTAAGAGCTCTACTGACTTCTAAATGCATAGTTCTAAATCAAATCTCTCTCATAAGCAACAACTTATATAAAAATGCTTAATAGAAAATGCAAAACAAACAATCCAATAGAGAACGCTTGATGCTACTGCAGCCTGAAAAATATGCTTTTTACTTGGTTTTTTAAATTTTGGTAAATGGCCAGGCGTGGTGGCTCAAGCCTGTAATAACAGCACTTTGGAAGGCCAAGGTGAGAGGAATGCCTGAGCCCACAGGTTTGAGAACAGCCTAGGCAACTTGGTGAGACCTTGTCTCTACAATAAATCAAAAAATTAGCCTGGCATGGTGGTGCACGCCTATAGTTCCAGCTACTTGGAAGGCTGAGGTGGAAGGATCGCCCGAGCCCAGCAGGTCGATGCTGGGGTGGCCGTGAGTGTGCCACTGCACTTCAGCCTGGATGATGGAGTAAGACTCCAACTCAAAATAAATAAATAAATAAATAAAAATAAATGGCATCACAGTTGGCCTAGTTGCTTATCTCACAAACCTAAGAATCGTTGACTGGTTTTTTCTACAACTTCCCATGTCCGACCCATTAGTAAGTTCCACTGACTCTACTGTTAAGATCTATTTCTAATCATACCACTTCTCAGCACCTTCACGACTATCACCCTAGTTCAAAGTACCATCATACTCTCTTAGCATTTTGGAAAATTTAAACAAACACACAAAAAAACTTTATTGAGTAATGTTTCCAAAGACGAGCTGTTGAAAAGCACAAGTGTCTTCCATATCATCATTACCATCATCATCATTTAGATATAGGCAGAATTAAATAATTTAAGTAAAATAATGGTATTGGTTTTAATTTTTAAATATAGTGATTCAGTGATTACAGTGATTCCATTCTCCAACCAAATTCTGAAGACTTTGACTCAAAAGAGTGGGTGATACAGATTTAATGCAATAACTTTCATAAAATAATCTCAGCATATAACCTTGAAGATTTTTAAATGTTAGCATAAAATAACTTACACTAGAACATTTTTGTGCATTTCCAAAACTTTTGATTTAGGCAGTGGATTTAAACATAAGTTCTACATTTTCTTTTTAATAGACATATAGTTCAACTTACCTTATCGAGTTCATCTGAAATGGCAATACCTGGGATTCAAAAGAGATTTATAAAAAAGTTTTAGAAGCAATCTTTAGTAACCTAATGTTAAAAACAAATGTTCCATTTGTAAAACGAGTGCATCTTCTATTTTTTAAAATTTTAATTAGTGCTTCAAAATAACAATGGTGCATCCTCCTTACGAATGAAAACGAATTAGGAATTTTAGTCAATTATGTCAGCCATGAGCTGCTGAAACAATGCAAATGGTACTGTATTTCTTGTAGGTTGTTAAAGGCAGAACAAACTTGCAGACAATTGTAGAGACACTGTCTTATGTTATAATGACAACCAGGTATAACTTAGCCTGTTATCTTGTTGATCCCTAAGAATTGATTTAGGCTCCTAAAGTGATTAAATATTAAGGTAGAATGGTGGCTAACGATTACTTATTTTAATTTCCTTATTTTGTGAATGAGGAAACAAACTAAAGAGTTTAAGGAATTTGTCCCACAGTCCCTCAGATTGACAGTTACTTGAGCCAACGCGTAAAAGTTTCCTTTTCACAAGTTCCTCCCTCACTATCCACATGTTTCTCACTGCACATCAGTCTGATTTCTATCTTTATCATTCCTCCAAAATTATTCTGTCAGCAACATAAAGAGTTTTAGTCTTCAGTTTAATTTATTTATTTGTGATGATAGACTCTACCAACCCCACTTTCTTTTTTTCTTTCTTTCCTTCTTCTTTTTTTTTTTTAGATTGGAAAATATAGTTTATTTAGAAAGTAAATTGGAGAGGGAGAGAGAGGAGATTCACCTCTCGAAGATAGGGCAGGGGGCAAAGCTTTGGAAAACATGACCCAGTCAGAGCTCAAAGAGTCACATAGCTGGGCCAGGGCTTAACAAAAGCATGGCCCCCACTTTCTTTCTTAAAATGCTGTCCTCTCTTTTCTGGTCCCCTTCTTTGTCTCCTACTTGGGAATCCTCTTTTGTGGGGAAGGGGGTCCTTTCCTGAAATACTAAAAGTTATTTGCTGAGGTGTCTTTTCTTCTAATGCTAACCTAACCAATATCATCAACATTTTAAATTTCTCTATATGGCACATCTTTACTGCCAGCACAGTCTTTCTTCCTGAGCCAGTTGTTGATTTTCTGTGGCCACTGCAATCTCAACATTTCAGACTAAAGGCATCATCCTCCCAGCTCATTCCCCTTTTATTTTCTTTTGAACAGTGGTATGCCTGGGCTGAACCTAGGCACTGTGGCTGGACATCAAAGCAGCAGTGGCTAGTCCTCAGGTCTGGGGCACAGAGCAAAGGGGAGCTGGTGTCAAACTCCAGTAGGGTATAACCAAGAGACAAGGAAAGGTCTAAAGTTTAAAGTTCAAAGGAACATAAGGAAAATAAGAACAGGATTTGAAGCTGAATTTCAGCAGACTATAAAGACCAAGAAAGAATGAACTGGGTTAGAAAAGAGAACGTGAAAGTTGCTCAGAAAAAAATGAATCTAAGTAAAGAGCCTATTACAGGGTTTGATCCCCTCTCCTGATCTGGTATAGAATGTCCGTAGAGGGTGCAGACGTTATTTTATTAGTTCCTATATCATCTCCCACACCACAAACCTAATGAATCAATTACACACAAAGCCAAAAAATAATATAGTATTTAATATCAATAAATGGTACCATTCTTTCCTGAAATGAAAACTAGAAACACAGGCATATTTGGGGTACATTCCTCAATATCTTATGACTTTCTCTTTTGGTAAAAGTTACTAGTAACTAATAATTTGTATGTGTCACTCAACTAAAAAAGAATCTACCACATAAGGAATTTGGGATGACTTAAGTGTAACAATTATTCAAGGACTTGGTGTAATATAAAGGAGAAAAATCTTCATGGAGGGCGAGCACTGGAGCTGGGCTATGTCGTGCTGAGTGTGCCAGGGTGGAGAACTATGATATATGATGGCACCACATTTGGGGAGGAAATGGGAGACAGATAAGAGATCTCAGAGCTTTCTGGGCAATTATAAACATTTCTGAAGGCCTAACATAAGTCACACATTTATAAATATTTGGGCTTTAAAAATATAGAGGATTACAAGTTTCATTTAGAATAACCATTTTAAGAAAATGTAGCATATCAAATTTATGGCATATCAAATGGTTTATGTCACAGTCTACAGTAGATTTTAAATAAGTTATTACAATTTATAAAAGCCATGTATGTGTTTTAAATGCTTATATTTACATGGAATATAATTATATAAAAAAATTCCTTTCCAATATGAATTCAATATTAAGACTGAATATATTAAATATAAATATTTAAAGAACTTAATCTATTTTAAGAGAGCATATATAAAATGAAACAAAATATGTTTTCATGTCACCCAAAGTCATAGAGCTTAGATATCTGTAATTAAATAACCCATGATTCAATTGTTTGAGATTTTTGAAACCCTCTTGAATTTTTTAACTTGCAGCATTAATGCCCTTAGATCCGCAAAAAGAATTTTCTTATTCAGTTTTTAGAGTTATCTGTTGATCTTTAAATTTCTTTTACACTTCAGATTTATGCATTCATTATTCATAAAGAGAGCAGCAATCTATTACTTATCTTAGAAAGTAGCCCCAAACTGGGAAGTAAGTCAAAAAAACCTGTGAGTAGTCAAAATGTGTGTCACTCAGTACTTGCATATTACTCATGGGCTAGCTCCTGTCAGTTTCAGCAAGCATAATGAGCTATTTTTCAAGGCTAAAAATTTTTAGCAATGGAAAATGGTGATAAAGAGAAACATTGCTTTGAAGATATATTTCAGTACTAAGAAGTAATGGGCTCCAGAATAAAACTCAAACTAGCTAAATGGGAACTTGGTTTGGGGAATGAATTATGTCTTTAATTATTTCAACTTTTTGACCTGACTATATTTTGTTCAAATACTTAATATCATATTTTCTTAAAATTCACATATATTGATGACTAGGCCTAAGAAATTATCCATATAAATCTCCTCTCTATTATATATAATTATTTCAGCTTTCTATTATCAATGTCAAATTGCCTAGGGTATTTTTTTTTTTACTTTTTCTCATTTCATTTTTAATTAAAACTTAAACTGATTAAAAGCAGTTGAAAGAATTTTGATAAAATGCTTTTTCACAGAAGCATAAAGCTCTAATGGAAACCATTTATATTGACTGGGATAATTCTCCAAGTCTGGCAGAAAGTCCACAGTTATTCTCTGAAAGGATATGAACAACTTTTAAGCATTTCATTAGCTTTTAAAGGCCAACATATTTTAAATTTATATTTTCAAAATTTACAGAGATGGGGAAGCAGCAGTAATCAGAAAATATGCAAGAGAAAAATGTAGTGTGTTGCTACAATATGTTGTAAGCAAAGAAGGCTCAGAATCTGGATTCTTGATTCTTGATATGTACTAGAGCACATGGTCCTTCCACAAATCAAACTGAGAGCTTAAAGGAAATGTCCTACCAGAGTAACCAAAGAGGCTTGTCTTAGGGTAGCACTGGTGTCCAGTTGTAAGAGTAAGCTACATGGAAGAAAAGGGAAAGATGGGTTCTTTCAGAAACTGAACTTCTCTTCCAGATAAAGAGGCAATGGCCCCCAAAGGCATGTTAGAGGTAGATTTCCTGACTCTGCTGGTGTGCAAAGCTATCTGATGGCTTCCATTTGTGTCCTTCAATTTATGGGCCTTTCCACTTATTCTAATCTTCAAAGAAGTCTCACTGGTATCAGAAATTTATTTCCACAATGGAGTTCTCACATTCCCAGATTCTCATATAATACACTTGATTGCTGGGAACTGAGGAGGGCTGTCTACTCCATTTGAATGTCCCCAAAATATCTGAAACTGGAGTTTGAAACATAACAGTCTTCTACCCTCAAGCCTTCTTAAACTTTTCATCTAAGGTAGAGGCAGCATCTAGTCACCTTGATTATAAACAAAAACAAAAGACAAAACAAACACATTTCTATCTCTATTTCCATCCTTCCTGCATATCAAACAATAAATCTAGTCATATAACCTTTTATGTGTTCTGTTCCATCCCACGGTAACTGCTTTATTACAGGTTCTCTTCATCTGTCCTTGCATCGAGGTATGGGCCATATCAATTCTATCCTCCAAGTGGTCACCAGAGTTATTCGTAAAAAATACAAACTTTGTTAGGTTCATCACCTACTAACAAATTCTAATAGCACAGAAGCCCCCACCCCGTGACCAGACTCCCCATGACCTAGACTTCTTTTTCTTTTTAATTTTTTTTGAGGTAGAGTCTCAGTCTATCTCTCAGGGTAGAGTGCAATGGCACGCTCATGGCCACTGTAGCCTCAATCTGCTGGGCTCAGGCCTTTCAATTAGCTGGAACTACAGGCGTGTGCCACCATGCCCAGCTAATTTTTTTATTTATTATAGAGATGAGGTCTCACCATGTTGTCCAACCTTGTCTTGAACCCGTGGGCTCAGGCAATCCTCTCACCTCAGCTTCCCAAACTGCTGGGATTACGAGCTTGAGCCGCCATGCCTGGCTCATGACCTAGATTTCTAGTTTCATTATCTTCATTACTTATTTTATCCTTCATGCACCAACAATATAACATGTGATCTGAGAGACCAAAATAGACACCACTTTATCAACTAAGAAGGACCCCAACTTTGCCACCTACAGGTCGAGAGTTCAGGGCCTGGCTGACATGGCAACTTCCTAAATTTTTATGACTACAAGAAAAGCCACACTATTGCTAAACTCTCTAACAATAAGACCTATCTTGCAAATTATCAGATCCCTTCCTAGTTTTGATTTACAACCCAGACCACTACAACTCTGATTTGACAGAGGACTAGTCTAATAAGAATTCTTTCCTCAAAACCAACTGCAGACTGTAAGCCAGTTTCAGCAGTTTATAAGGACTGCACACAAACTGACATTGTATTCTATAGTTCATCTTTTGACATAAAAAACCTAATTCCACTTCATTTTAATGCTCCAATCCTGCCCCAAAGTGAACATGGGATGCATGT